ATCTATGAGCTTCATAAACTTGGCTGCCTATATCTCTTTCCAGATATGGGAAGTTCCCAGTCTTCCTTCCTTTCTCCCTCCCTTTTTTCCTTCCTTTCTCCCTTCCTTCCTTTCTTTTCTTTTTTAAGATTTTTATTCATTTGTCAGAGAGAGAGAGAGAGAAAGCACAAGCAGGGGAGTACCAGGCAGAGGGAGAAGCAGGCTTTCTGTTGAGCAAGTAGCCCCATGCAGGACTTGATCCTAGGACCCTGGGATCATGACCTGAGCTGAAGGCAGATGCTTAACCTACTGAGCCTCCCAAGTGTCCCCTCAGTCATTATTTCTTTAAGTAAGTATTCTGCCCCTTTCTCCCTCTCTTTCCTCCTGGTATTCCCAAAATTTAGAAATTGTTTCAATTGATGGTATTTCATAATCCATGTAGTATTTCTTCACTCCTTTTTATTCTTTTAGTTGTTGTTGATCTCTGAATAGATAATTTTAAGTGACTTGTTTTCAAGTTGAGATTCTTTCTTTTTATCAAGTCAGTTGTCGATGTTGCAATTTTCACTTCATTCATTGTGTTCTTTAGCTCCAGAATTTCTGTTTAGTTCTTTTTTGCAATTTCTGTCTCTCTGTTAAACTTCTCATTTTGTTCCCGTGTTGCTTTTCTGATTTTATTGAATTGTTTTTGTTTCTTTGTAAGTTACTGAGATTCTTAAAGCAACTATTTTAATTTCATCTTATTCAAATCATAGATCTCCATTTCTTTTGGGTTGGTTACTGAAAATTTATTGTTTTCCTTTGGTAGTTTCATACTTCCTTGATTTTTCATGTTCCTTGAAGTGTTGGATTACTATCTTGGCATTTGAAAAAGTGATTACCTCCTCCAGTCTTTACTGTCTGGCTTTGGGAGAGAAATAATTTCTGTCGGCCTGTCTAGGGATTCTGGGATTTCCTCAAACCTTTTCTATGTGTATGCCTGCTTTACACTTCTTGTTCCCTTTCTCTCTCTCTCCCTCTGTCTCTCTCTGTGTGTGTGTGTGTGTGTGTGTGTGTGTGTATGTGGCATTCTTAAGATTATATGCCTTCTTTTTGCAAAGCTGGACCTACTGCTGACAGCTTTAGCTTTACTTTCCCTAAGATAACGGTGAATGTTCTAATATGTTTGCTTTTTCACAGTCTTGCAGGGTTGGGACAGTTTTCCGTGTTCATGAGCCCTCTGCCAATGCTTTCACTTGCCACTCTCACGGGCACACACAGGGAACTGACCACAAGGTACGTGTGTTTGCGGGGGCGGGTTATGTGGGTGAGGTGTGGAGAGCATTAGGGATGCCTGTGGGCCAGTAGGGGAATCTGCAGGCAAGACCTCACTAGTGGTTTGTGGTGGCCCTTGTAATGGAGTCCACAAAATAGTTAAGCATATTCCATGTCTCTATGATGCACTCTAAGCCCTGCCTGATGTGTTTCTATTCTCTCCTCATGTTCAGGTGTACAGCTTACCCCAGTATTCCAGATGGGGTAAGAAAAAGGTGGACCTCTTTGGCAGTGTCTCACATAGCTGGGGAGGATGGGCACTCACACGTTTTTACTTTCTGCAGTGGGAGAAACTGCAGGCCAAGGTGTTCCTCTTGATGCTAAGCTGTGCCACTCTGTGGGAATGGAGACACAGATAAATTAAAACTATTTCTCTTACTTTCTTCAGTGCAATGGATTTCTTCAGATCCAATTTTGGATTTTTTTTTTTCTTTCTCCGAGGATGTGCTAGAACTTCTCCGCTGGACTGTTGGACTTCCAAAATGGATACTCTGACTCACCAGTGTTTTAAAAATCAAGGTTCTTTGAGGGAAAGATATTAGAAAACTACTACTCCTATAGTTTATTACATTGAATGGTTTTTGTATGTAGGACCATCCCTGCACTCTGGGAATAAATCCCACTTGGTCATGATGTAAAAACTTCTTTTTCTTTTTTTTTTTGGAAAAATGTTATCATATTAGAGCAGCGTGTTTTTTTTTCCAGATCTATACATCTTTTAATATGTGCTGAATTTAGTTTGCTAGTATTTTGTGGGTGATATTTGGATCTTACTATTTTAATGGAAGGAAGGAAGGCAACATATGGCAGTTAAGATGGAAGAACAAAAATAGAACTTAGAAGAATTGGAGGAACAGATTTTACATATTGTTATTTTCATATTTTAAAAACATTATTGGGGCGCCTGGGTGGCTCATGGGTTAAAGCCTCTGGCTTCGGCTCGGGCCATGATTCCAGGGTCCTGGGATCGAGCCCCACATAGGGCTCTCTGCTCAGCAGGGAGCCTGCTTCCTCCTCTTTCTCTGTGTCTGCCTGCCTCTCTACCTACTTGTTATCTGTATCTGTCAAATAAATAAATAAAATCTTTTAAAAAATTAAAAAAACATTATCAATAAGACTTGACATTGCACACCTGTGAAAATACATAATTAAATATTTTACAAATGTAATAGAACAGTTTGAATTGTACTTTCCCTTAAAAGAAGATTGCTAGGGGGCTCCTGGGTGGCTCAGTGGGTTAAAGCCTCTGCCTTCGGCTCAGGTCATGATCCCAGGGTCCTGGGATCGAGCCCCGCATCGGGCTCTCTGCTCAGCAGGGAGCCTGCTTCCTCCTCTATCTCTGCTTGCCTCTCTGCCTACCTGTGATCTCTGTCAAATAAATAAATAAATAAATCTTAAAAAAAAAAAAAAAAGAAAGATTGCTAGGGGCACCTGGGTGGCCTAGTGGGTTAGGCCTGTGCCTTTGGGGCTCAGGTCATGATCTCTGGGCTCAGGTCATGAGCCCAGCTCTCTGCTCAGTGGGGAGCCTGCTTCCCCTTCTCTCTCTGCCTGCCTCTCTGCCTACTTGTGATCTCTCTGTCAAATAAATAAATAAAAATCTTTATTTAAAAAAAAAGAAGATTGCGGGGCGCCTGGGTGGCTCAGTGGGTTAAGCCGCTGCCTTCGGCTCAGGTCATGATCTCGGAGTCCTGGGATCGAGCCCCACATCGGGCTCTCTGCTCAGCAGGGAGCCTGCTTCCTCCTCTCTCTCTGCCTGCCTCTCTGCCTGCTTGTGATCTCTCTATCAAATAAATAAATAAAATCTTTAAAAAAAAAAAAGAAGATTGCTGCAAAGCAAAATCATAGATCTGGAACACATTTCTTTTATTAAAAGGTATTTAAAATTTTAATTATTACTGTATGGGATAAACTGTTGGACCTAGCCACTTATGAGGACTGAATATGAATTTTGAAAATACATCATCAGTTCTTTTTCAGTAAAGGTTAAGAATGAACCATGATAAAAAAAAATGAAAAAAAAAAAAGAATGAACCATGAATTTACTGAAGTTGCTTTAAAATCTATTCTTCCATTTCCATTAACATACCTCCATGAGATTGTTTTTTTTTTTTTACGGTGAGAACTTAGAACTAGTTTAGACATAAATTCTCCTCTGTAAGTAACGCTTTTATCAACCCAACCTAGTTTAGATAAATGACCAAACAAGAAACAGTATCATTTGTCACTGAAATCTTTAAATATTTATGCTCAATGTATTCATTCAAAGTGTGCTTACAGGCATTTAATAAGGGAATAGAATTTCACTCATATCTGCTTTAGTTAAAATTGTAGAACAAAAACTTAGGGTAATAGCCATTCACTGTAACAAATGCCAATTGACAAATTTTCTCTAAACAAAGTATACAGATTCTTAAATTATTTCCTCTCTGTTCTGATTGTTGAAATGTAATTTTATGTCTGCTGAATTTCACATTTAAAAAATGAAATTGCGTTTTGTATAGTTTTCTCCAATCTATGAGTAATTTGTTTTTTAAATTAATTTATTTGACAGAGGGAGAGAAAGAGAGAAAGCACAAGCAGGGGAAGAGCAGGAGAGGGAGAAGCAGGCTCTCTGCTGAGCAGGGCTCCATCCCAGGACTCTGGGATCACGACCTGAGCAGAAGGTAGACGCTTAACCGACTGAGTCACCCAGGCGCCTCTATGTGTAACTTATTTTTATTTTATTTATTTATTTTTTAAAGATTTTATTTATTTATTTGTCAGAGACAGAGGGAGAGAGAGCGAGCGAGCACAGGCAGACAGAGGCAGAGGGAGAAGCAGGCTCCCTGCCGAGCAAGGAGCCCGATGTGGGACTCGATCCCAGGACGCTGGGATCATGACCTGAGCCGAAGGCAGCCTCTCAACCAACTGAGCCATCCAGGCGTCCCTGTAACTTATTTTTAATCTTAATTTAGTTAACTATCAGTGACCGATGGATTTTTAAAAAGTAGTCATTCATCGTGGACAATAAGTACTGGTTCTAAATACCTGAAGTGTGCTCTTCTGCATTTAATTTGCCCGACAGTGGGCCTTAATTAAATAAATGAATGAATATTCAATACCTGACCCTAGGTCCACACCGTTAACTAGATGTCTGTTACAGTCTCTCAATGATTAGAGTTGCTGGCATTTTTTAAGTGTATTAAATGCCAGGACCTGTGTAAGCACTCTCCCTTCCACCTCTTTCACTCACGTTCTCCTTCCTCCCGGGGAGAGGGCGTGCCCCGTACCAGGCCCGCCCTTCTATGCATTCGTTGGTCAAACCCGACGTCCGTTACGGCCGAGTCCCGCCCCAACCACGCCCCCACGCTGTCCGCGGGGCCGTGAGAAGCGTGGCTATAACAGTGCTGCCGGAAGGTTCAGGAGGTTCCCTCTCGTGAGAATCCGGACGCTCTCGAGGACCTGAGCGGTGCCGGTGGGAGCGCGCTTCGCGGTCCCGCTGAGCAGGCGCGACAGGCCCGTGGCCGCGGCGGGCGCACGCCTTGCCCCGCCCCCGCTGCTCTCAGGCTCCGCCCGGGCTCGCGCACACGCGCGCACTCCAAGTTCAAGCCTCGGTCTGGCCCGCGGGGACCGGGCGGGTGGAGGCTGGGCCGCTGAGGTACAAGGGGAGGAGCGGGAGGAGCCGGAGCTGCCGCCGCCACAGCCACTGCCACAGCTGCCGCCGCGGCCGCTGGAGAAGAGCATGTCCGCAACTAGAGCCAAGAAAGTGAAGATGGCCACCAAATCGTGCCCCGAGTGCGACCAACAGGTGGGCGCCGGGCGCCGGCCCGGGGGCCAGCGGGGCGGGTGCGCGGGCGGGCGGCCGTTGGCGGCGGCGGTTGGCTGTAGAGAGGCCGCCTCGCCGGGTGGTCTGGCCCTTGGGCTCGGTGTCCATAGTGGGAGGCCGGGCTGAGCCGAGGGGATGCCAGGGGGACTCCCGGGGTTGCAGTGGCTGGTCCCCACCTGGAGGCGTTAGCTGGGCAACTGTGTGTGTCCTGCGGCCCGTGGCGCGGGAGGGAGGCGTGGGTTTGTCTGGAGCGGACCGGGCGCCCTGTCCGGAGCCTTCCAGAGTCGCCTGGCCGGCTCTGGGTGACAGCGGAGGGAGTGTGGGGGCAGTGGCCTAAGTGGACGAGCACGGCCCCTTCAGTCCCCTTCTGCCGCGACGAGAATGCCCAGTGTGCCCGACTCCCGAGACCAGGCTCCAGGCTCCTGGCTCCAAAAGCCCCTCTGCCTTGCAGGGTTGCTTTGTTCTCATTAGCTGCGTGCGGTGACAAAAAGGGCCGCAGCTGGGGCGCCTGGGTGGCTCAGTGGGTTAAGCCTCTGCCTCCGCCTCAGGTCATGATCCCTGGGTTCTGGGATCGAGCCCCGCATCGGGCTCTCCGCTCGGCGGGGAGCCTGCTTCCCCCTCTCTCTCTGCCTGCCTCCCTGCCTACTTGTGATCTCTGTCTGTCAAGTAAATAAAATCTTTAAAGAAAAAGGGGGGGGCGCGCAACGATTATGACATTTTCCTTTTAGATGTCAGTAAATTGGTGATCTTAATATGCCTTTTAATACTTTACATAACCCAAATAATCATTACTTTGTTCTAAATTTTTAATAGAACACCACTGAATACTAAGTCCCTGTTAAAGCCCTACTTTTCTAGGCACTCCCCTCTTAAGATGGTATGTATTTGTCTAACTTTTTAAAAAGATGAATTTGCCATTCCTACCTGTGTGTGGCTTCTTGAATATATTTTTTTAAAGATTTTGTTTATTTATTTGACAGAGGGAGAGAGAGAGATCACAAATAGAGAGGCAGGCAGAGAGAGAAAGGGGAAGCAGGCTCCCCGCTGAGCAGGGAGCCCGATGCGGGGCTCCCTGCGGGGCTCGAATCGAGGACCCTGGGATCATGACCTGAGCTGAAGGCAGAGGCTTAACCAACTGAGCCACCCAGGCGCCCCAGCTTCTTGAAGTTTTAGTATCTGATTTATAAACTCAGTTCGTAAGGTCGTGCAATGGCTTTATGACCACCGGGGGTCTAGGGTTCTGCTAGACATTCAGGCCTGCCCTGGACCCAGATGGAAACACTGTATGTAATCAGAACAGCATCAGAATTGTGGTCAGTAAGGATCCCCACAGCATACCAGGGGCTTTCTCTGCCTCCCTAAATGACAGTTCAGGTGTGAAAACAAGATGGTGGGAGTGGTTCCAAGACTTACCATAGCTTAGAAATTTCATGTTTCTTAGCCCACGAGTAAGGCCTTTGCTTCCAAGGTTTTGCCGGGAATGGCATGATTATATTTATTGTACTTAGGGAAACCTAAAACTTCATGCCTTCCAGTCCAGATGCCAATTACGTGTCATTTTTACCATAAGCAATATTGTCTAATAATGTTATTTGATTAGGCTGCCAGGGTGGGAGTGCTAGACTTAAGCAAAGGTCTTTTTTCTCAGTGAAGACTTTTGTCAACCCTTTATTAACATGTCATAGTCCCATGAATTTTTTTTTTTAAAGATTTTATTTATTTATTTGACAGAGACATAGTGAAAGAGGGACTACAAGCAGGGAGAGTAGGAGAGGGAGAAGCAGGCTTCCTGCTGAGCAGGGAGCTCCACGCAGGGCTCCATCCCAGGACCCTGGGATCATGACCTGAGCCAAAGGCAGACACTTAACGACTGACTGAACCACCCAGGCCCCCCCCCATGAAATTTTTTTTTTTTTTAAGATTTTATTTATTTATTTGACAGACAGAGATCACAAGTAGGCAGAGAGGCAGGCAGAGAGATGAAGGGAAGCAGGCTCCCTGCTGAGCAGAGAGCCAGATGTGGGCTCAATCCCAGAACCCTGGGAACATGACCTGAGCCGAAGGCAGAGTCTTTAACCCACTGAGCCACCCAGGCGCCCCCAAGCCCCAACATGAAATTTTTTTAATGGTTTCCTTGGTCTATAAAGTTTGGTTATTCTTAACTAGGAAAAGTAGAGTTCATTGAAAAGTTCTTCAATTAAAACCATCTGTAAGACATCTTTTATGTCATAATGCAGTGTCTGTCTTTTCAAAATAATTGCCTCTTTTTACTTTCCCTCCTTTGGTAAGAGAAATTTACTGCCTCCTCTAAATATTTCACTCAGCAGTGTGTGTAGTTTTCATTGTACAGATTTTGAATATATTTTGTAAATTTTTCCCTATCAGTTCAATTTTTTGAATGCTTTTGTGAGTGGAATTGTTTTAAAATTTTCGTTTTATCAATTTCATTATGTATAGAAGTGCAATTGATTTTTTTCATTGTGGTAAAAAAAGATAAAATTCACCATTTGAACCATGTTAAAGGGTCTACTTAAGTGGCATTAATATTTTTACAGCATTGTACAACCATTACCACTATCGAATTCCAGAACATTTTTATCACTCTGAGGTGAGACCTTGTTTCCATTAAACAAACAGTCATTCTCAATGCCACCTAGTCCCTAGCTACTAGCAACCACTAATTTGCTTTCTGTCAGCCTTCATAGACTTGAATGAAGTTCAGGCCTTGCCCTGAATTAGGTTTTGGCTTAAGAATGTTGTGGCTGGTTTGATTTTTTTTTCCAAACCACCAAAATTTTCTGCATATCAACTATAAGGCTGTTTCACTTTCTTATCATTTGTGTGTTCACTGGAGTAGCACCATTTCCTTCAAGAAATTTTCCTTTTCATTTATAATTTGGCTCTTTGGCGTAAGAGGCCTAACCTTCGGCCTTGCTTGGCTTTTGACATGCCTTTTGTACTAAGCTTAATCATTTCTAACTTTGGATTTAAAATGAGAAATGTGTACCTTTTCCTTTAACTTGAATACTTAAAAGCCATCGTAGGGTTATTAACTGGCCTAATTTCAATATTGCTGCTTCTTAGTACAGGGAGGCCTGAGGAGAAGGAGGTAAACGGAATGGCCAGTTGGTAGAGTATTCAGAACACACACATTTATCGATTAAGTTTGCTGTCTTGTATAGGTGTGTTTCATGGCACTCCAAAATAATTAAAATAGTAACATCAAAGATCACTGATCACAGATCACTGTAACCAAGATAATGATGAAAAGGTTTGAAATATTTCAAAAATTACCACAACATGACAAAGATACAAAGTGAGCAGATGTGGTGGAAAAATAGTGGTGATAGACTTCCTCCACGAAATGTTGCCATAAATCTTCAATATGTAAAACCCAGAGTATCTGTGAAGCACAATGAAGCAAAGTGCAAAAAAATAAGGCATATCTGTAATAAAGTCTTCCCTCTTTTTTTGTCTCTAGCAAAAGGCTTGTCAATTTTGTTCATGTTTTCAAAGAAACCAACTTTCGTTTTATTGATTTTCTTTATTATTTCTCTATTCTCTATTTTGTTTATCTCTAATACTAATATTTCCCTCTTTATGTTGGCTTGGGTTTAGTTTGCTCTTCTTTTTCTAGTTCTTTAAGTTGTAAAGTTAGATTGTTGATTTGAGATCATCTTTCTTTTTTATTTTTTTAAGATTTTATTTATTTATTTAACAGAGATCACAAGTAGGCAGAGAGACAGGCAGAGAGAGAGAGGGAGGCAGGCTCCCCACTGAGCAGAGAGCCCAATGTGGGGCTTGATGCGGGGCTCTATTCCAGGACCCTGGGATCATGACCTGGGTGGAAGGTAGAGGCTTTAACCCACTGAGCCACCCAGGAACCCTGAGATCTTCTTTCTTCATGTAAGCTTTTACAGGTCTATAATTTTCCTGCTTAACATTGCTTTATCTGTGTCCTATGAGTTTTGGTAGGTTATATTTTTGTTTTCAGTCATCTCTATGTATTTTCTATTTTTCCTTATGATTTGTTTTTTTAATCCATTGGTTATTTCAGAGTATGTTGCTTAATTTCTAAAATTTTTTGAATTTTCTAGTTTTCCTTTCTGTTTGTTTCTAACTTTGTCATGTTGTGTTTGGAGAATTTACTTTGATATCTATCTTAAAAAATGAACTTGGGGCACGTGGGTGGCATAGTCAGTTAAGCATCCAACTCTTGGTTTTGGCTCAGGTTGTGATCTCAGTGGTAATTGCTCAGGTGAGATTGAGGCCCATGTCAGGCTCTGTGCTCAGTGTCAGGCTCTGTGCTCAACACAGAGTCTGCTTAGGTTTCTCTCTCCTTCTCCCTCTTCCTCTGCCCCTTCCCCCGTTCTCTCTCTCTCCAAGTAAATAATTCTTAAAAAAAAAAAAAAAAAAAAAAGAACTTTAATTCTTACGTGTGCCATATACAAATAATATTTCAAGATGGATTTGTAGACCTACATGAAAAATTTTAAACTACGAAACTTCCAGAAAATACTAAAAAAAATCTTTGTGAACTTAAGTTAGGCAATTGTTTGGTGTTACAACACCAAAAGCATGACCTATAAAAGAAAAAAATGGTAAATTGAACTTAATCAAAATGAAAACTTCTGTTTTGAAAATCACTGTTTAGAAAAAGAAAAGAAGATACGAACAAATAAGAACCTTTGCAAAGCATATATATGTACTAGAGAACTTGTATCCAGAATACATAAAGGGCTTTCAAAGGTTAATAATAAGAAAACAAACAACCCAATTAAAAAATAGGCATAAATTTGAATAGATACTTCACCAGAGTAGACTTATAGGCAGCATATAAGCTCATAGAAAAATGCTCAACATCATTAGTCATTAGGGATATGTGTATTACCATAGTGAGACCCTACTGGAATAACTAAAAAAGAACATACCAAATATTGATGAGTATGTGGAGGAACTGGACATCTCACACACTGCTGGTG